AGAATGTAAAAAAATTTTTAAAAAAGTAGTAATAGTCACGCGAGTTCGAGAGGCCTTTTAAAAATTTTTGGAATATATACACGCACACAAATGTAGCAATGTACATTTAAAAATTCATTCTGACTGTTCATTAAAATTTTTTCTTTGATATTCATTTCAACATTCATGTAAAAGAATTTTTCATCACTGGAGGGTTTCTTTTTTTGTTATAATATTTAAGAATAAATAATGTTATAACATGCTTTTGACTTTGTAGTGCAGCTTTTTTATAGATTACCTTTGAAAATATCATGACAATCAAATATAATTTTTTGTTTTTGAAAAAATTCACATTTTCTTGTTTTTATTGTACTTCTAATGTTTATTATAGCCAAGGGGGAATTTTTCATAAAGGTACAATTAAATAGAGTAAAATATGCTTCGGTTAGAATGCTTTTGTGACATGTTCTGATTGGAAATCTCATATTAAATTGTTTGCTAGATCAAAAGCAGTTTAATCTTCAGTTTATTGCTTTACGCTTGACAACTTTATTTCATATACGCGCAATTTAGATGCCCAAAACTTAATATACACGGATAAATTCTCTCATATCAATCCCACTTCCTCTTGATAACATATTAAACAATCCATTTTTTCATAGAAATATTACTTCTTTTTTTGCTCTCAACATTCCGCAAATGATCTGAATTCCGCAATATAAGATTCACTTCAAGCGGAACGTCACGAGCTTCTGAAAGTTTGACCCAAGCTTTTAGCTCAATCCTTTTCTACCAGAAAGAACTGCGCAAAGAAAAAGTTCACTTGCTATCCTTTCAATGACATAGCGGCTATAAATTTTAGATGCGAATGTGGAACTTTTGCTTTAGTGTGAAAAATAAGACTCTGACAATAAAACAGTTTACCCATAGCAAAGAGTTTTAAAATCGTTTAAATAAAATAATACTTTTTATTCATGATCCCAATATTATACAGAAAGTCTATTATATTTTTTAATCGCTACCGTTTATTCAGTGACAATTTAAGAAATTATCAATTTTCTAATTGTTTTGGAAGCGAAATGTATATTTTAACAAAAATTTACATGTCCTTCAAAGTTATACCATAAGAAGAAAATATGCATTAAAATTGGAGGAATCTGCAAAAATGAAGACTACTTGCGGAGCAGTTGAAGATTAAGAAAACTTTCATTTAACATTCTGGTAATATTGAAAATATTGTGACGAAAAAAGTAACCTTGGCAACATTACAGATACAGCAATTATAAAAGTATACATTTACTTTCTAAGCGAGAAGAAACAAGTTCTTCGACTTAAAAATGAATATAAAAGGCGCCAATGACTAAATATAGAAAATAGAAATAATTCAAGTTGCGATGCTGCCTACTATAATATGCCACTTTTAAAATTTTAAATAAATATAACTTCAAGTATATTATGCTTTTAGTTTAAGACCCATAATGAAGCTGAAGTCCGTAATTTATATTTGGGGCATTCCACGCCAAGTCGGAAATCATTTTGCTTTTGCATCTCAAATTTTTTTTAAACATTTTTTTTCTTTTAGTACTCTTTGAAATGAGCTACCTTGATTTTTTTCAAATTTTTTCATAGGGCGGTTCAGGAGATACAGATTTTTGAAAAATGACGTTTTTTACGTAATTTTTTTTAAGAAATTAGCACTAAGTTAACAATTTTTAAGCCTTGTCCAATTGTGGGCAAACAATGGGATCTATTTATTTTGAAATTTTTAATTTTTATATACGCAGTGGTGGCCAAATGCCTAACTTGCCATTTGACAAAATCACATAAATTTTTCACAGCAAATGTGTTTTCAGACTGAATCTCTCCAAACTTAACCTTCTTATTCTGTGTAAAATTTTGATTTGGTCAAATGGCAAATTAGGCCTACCGTTTTGCACTGCGTACAAAAAAATTAAAAATTTCAAAATAAATAAATCCCATCGTTTTCCCACGATCGGACAAGGCTTAAAAATTGTTAATTTAGTGCTAGTTTCTTACAAAAAATTTTGAAAAAAATTGATCGATACATATAGAGTAGAACGGGGTGAAATAGCCAGGGTGCAAAAAAGCCATTTGACTTTTATTTGAAAACTATTAAACCGATTTATCAGCTATTTAGAATATAAATACTATCAGTCAATACGCAACTTTTGATACTAGTTTGGATGTTGTACCTATAGTAATATAGTTTTTATTGTAATTTTAATTTTTGAGTCGTTCTGCGTATAATATTTCGATGAACTTTTCGAACATATTACAACCTGTTTAAGTGAACATGTAATAAAAGTAAATGTTTGTACATAAGCAGAAAACTATACTCAAAACGTATACAATGTTAATTTTTGGAAATTGAACTGAATTTAAAATTTATTTTAGCTTTTACAAAAAATGGTCTTGGGGGTGAAAAAGCCAGGGACAAAAGCCATTGAATATTATGTGAAATTCATTTGTTTTCTACTTAAACTAACCTTCTAATTTTACAAAATTTTCGCGTGTTTACTTAATAAAATTAATTAAACACGACGAAAAAATAGTATAAAGTGCGTTAAAAATAAACAACGAAAAAACGGTTGCAACAAAATATGGCATCTGTGGTGAAATTTAAGGAAGACTTTAAAAAAAGGTACAAAAACTTGTCAGTGTAAATCGAAAACAGGTAAACTTTACATAATATTCAATTTTTCTTGATAAAAGCTCTTTAAAATTTATTAAAATATTTTAAAAATAAGATTATTTGTCATGTAAATAAAGGAAATCTATAAAAATATCAAAATTAATAACATATTTTGCTAAAATCGCGAGGTGGCTTTCGCCCCCCACCAGGTGGTACAAAAAAGCCATTTGCAGAGCTTTCGTAAAACTCTTATAACTTAGTCCTTTCATGGGATAAAAAATATTTCCGTCAAGAATATTCAAGCTTAATAACTAAACTTTCCATGCCAATTGAAAATTTGAGAAAAAAGTTTTAAATTCAGATTTTATAAATTAAAATGTAAAAATGTGGCTATTTCACCCCGTTCTACTCTACCTTGTTAAAAATGAAATTTTACTTTAAAAATTTTAAAATCTTATCGTAAATTATTTTAAAATAAAAAGTATTTCTCAAATCTAGCTGTTTGTTAAATTAAAAATCTTAATCATCATTTGTATATTTTAATGCATTAATATTTATAATATAATAAAAAGAAAACAAAATATACAAATATTAGGAGGTTAAAGTTTTGAACGTTCAAATAAACGAAATTTATTTATTTCTTCTTCAAATTAAATTTTTATTACTATAATTTTGCGTCACTATTAAGCAAATTAATTATAATGTTTCTAAATGTAAAATTTGAGTTTTTAATTTGAATTGTAATCAATAATCTATGAAAATATTTTTAACAAAAAATATTTCGTTCATTTGAACGTTCAAAACTTTTTGTTCATCAAATATTTACGATTTTTAACCCTAGAAGGAGTAACTGGGGTGTCTGGACACCCCACAAAATATTCAAAATACGCCTCTAACTTAAAAAATGTTTTTTACGCTTTCAAACCTTAGCCATTATTTAAAATTTTTTTTAAATTTACCAAAAAATGAATAAAACCATTGCTTTCCTGACTAAAAAACCAATAAAATTCATTATTTGCAATTGACTTCATGTCAAATAGGAACCTTTTAAAACAAGATTGAAGCTTAAGCTTCAATGGGGTGTCTAGACACCCCAGTTACTCCTTAGAGGGTGAGTAAATTCACGTACTCCTTTTAGGGTTAAGCGTTTTTAAAGCGAGGTCCAATGGACCCCGCTTGCCCACTTACGTAATTTTTTTTAGCCCAAAGGTTAAATAGGTTATAATTATTATTCTTATTTTTCATAATAAAATAATCTTTTTAAAATTATTTTTCAATTGTATTTTCCCCATTGGGCCTTTTTCCTTCTACCGTTCCTTAAATCTAAAATTTAAATAATTCAGGTGCATTTAAAATTCATTACGATATAGAGCCTCTATAAAGTTACAACTTTTAATAATAATTCCCTGAAAATAAAAAAACTAATAAGATATATTATAATTTAAGGTAAGTATTTTTTAGTAGTGGTTAATTTATCAGACTTGCAAAATTAAAAATTTTTATTTCAAAATGCAAATTTGATATATCAAATTCTTGTGTCCTCTTTCAATTCTTCATTTACTTTTTTAAAAAGATCCACGTCTCAATATTTATGTATGTTTTAAATAATGAAATAAAAAATGACTATTAAAACGTGAAAAAAAAATCAAAATAAAAAAACAAATGCTCACACAAATTGACACTTGTGAGGAATATTATGAAAAAAATGTTTACATTTCCTTGTGTCATTACCCTTCGAGAGGAAGTTTAACATAATGTAAACATTCACCTCCACCACACGTTAATTGAAACAAAACAAAGCAAATACTTCCTGAAAATTTAAATGCTCCCGATTTATAAACATTATAACATACCTCCAGTTTTCTGCTCTCTGATATAATCTTCTAAATGACGTAATAATTTCTATTTACCGACTACATTCGTATACTTAGGTCATTCCTCTCAAATTGTAACACTTTAAGCAAACATCACACAAGAGACTAACTGTCAAATATAATCAGAAACACACTGTTGCTCTTGAAATTCTTTTTCCACTTTCTTTTTTTTTATTTAGCACTCACTCTAAAAAAAATGAAAATAACACTCCGAATTTAAAATTAAAATTCCATAATTAAAATTATGGAAAATCTGTGGCAAAATCTTGTAACATGTTCACTGACGCATCAGGTGTCAGTCACCTTTCAGTATATTTTATACATGCGGATGAAAAAATTGTATACACGCTTTCAGCGTTCAGTACCACGTGCCACTGTTTAAGTTTGAACTCGAGAAAGAAATCTTCGATCCGAAACGAAAAGGCATTATCATTCTCATAGCATTATAAGAAACGAAACGCGACACACCATGAAAAATAACCTTAAAAACTCACCTGTCGTGAAACCGATGAGACTCTTATGCTGTTGGTAAAAGATCTTCCAATCCTTTCACTCCTTTCGCAATCGTTGCTAACTCTTCGTTCACCGGGGGGATTGTCACACTGAACATGAGAAACACACTGTTTCAGAACACGAAACGCACTGCAGCGTCGCGACGTTACCGAGAATCCGTACACCACCACCCGCGCAGATATGCGGCTTGAAAATAATGTACAGGTGTGTTTGTATACCTCAACACATTTCCATGGATCAGCTGCTACCGTCACACGCGTTACGAATTTCGATGGAAATTCCTTGAACTACTACTCGACAACCACGAATTGACAACGATAGTCAATTGATTGAATGAATCTTGTGAAGTTACCACTGGTTGTTAACACCTTTTTCTGTTTTTTTTCTTCTTCCTTTTTTCCCAACTTTGTTGACACCAATTGCCTAAATAAACTGTATTTGTTCTTTATGTAATTTGCAATTATTTTTACTCACTATTTTCTCTTCGACTTGTGTATATATCTTCTGTAGGTAAGTAAGAAATTTAAATTCCTCAAACAGTAACGAAGAATTTTTGAATTAAGAAAATAGTTGATACGTTTCCCGACATTATCGCTGTTATGAACGAGAATATAACCGTTGATTAAATTCTCCGGGAATTTAAGAGAATGTAACATAACCTCACTTTTGACATAATTAAACTTTGGTAAATGCGTGTGTCCGGGGTTGTGTTTTTATTTAGTAGATTTAGTAGTTGTTATTTTGTTTATTATAGTGACTATGTATATTTAAAGATTTAAAAAATGACAAAACCAAAGAGTGTGGTCTGGAAATATTTTAAAAGCATTGAAGACAATAACACAAAAACAATTAAATTCTTCTGTAAATTTTGCAATTTTATCCCCAATTTAACTATTTTTATTCACATACAATTTTAAAATATATTTATTTTAAAAATGCATTGTATAATGTAAAAATATTATTCTTTATTATTTATAAAAAAATTATATATATATATCTTTATTATTTATCTATATTCTAAAGTATCTAAACTTTTATTCGTACTAAGTTCCGCATATTATTTTATGAATATAAATGAAATTAAATTTAAATTTATAAGATAAAAAATATGTGATTTTACTTTTTTTATTTATATATATATATATATATATAAAGAATTCTTTTAGATAAAAGTAATTATCGTAATTTTGCATAAATATATGTGTTTTTTTATTAATAAAAAATAATAAATATACATTATTTAAATAAATAAACTTAAGTCCTCAATATTCTCTTATATTATCTTGAAAAAAATTAAACTGCCGTACCTAATTTCCTTGGTTATATTACCCCAACTTAAATTCTCGAGAATTTAAAAACACTAACTGTAGCACGAGGTAGCTACAATCCCAGTTTATGATGCAAACAATTGTTTTGAAAAAATTTTCTTTCTCGTTTTTAAAAGTTTAAGTGTTTTTAGAATTTACAATTTGTAATGACATATAATTATAGTTAAAAATTGATCTATTTATTTTGTGTATGAAGTTTTGTGCACTGTGATAAGTTAGTCTTCAAAAGTTAAATTTCAGAAACTAATCAGGTTTTACAAAAGAAAATAATTAGTAACAAAGTTTTACAACTTTTTTTTCAGTTTTTGTGTGTTAAACTATTCGAACTGAGTTATTATTTACAATTATTAACCAAAGGCTTTCTAAATATAATTTTTTTTATCAATTTCGTGACATAACCTCAAAAATAAAGTTTATTACCGCGATAATAGTCTTTTTTTATTTAAGTACGATAGAAAAAAAGTATTTGATTTATTTTTTCTAATGACTTCACGTCCAACGATAATATGTTTCAAGCACTGTTCGGAAAAATCGATTTTTTGCAATCAAGTACCACTTTTATGTCCACTTTGTAAAAAGTTAATTGTCACTTTTACCTTGGAACCTTTTCAAATTCCGTATCCATTTATAAACGCAAATCAAAATCCGACAAGTATTGTTTTAAGACCATCGTACGGGGATTTTCTTCACGATTTCAATATAAATCAGGATTTACATATCGGAATTGTAGATTCGAATTGTCAAATTTTTGAATTCGATAAACGTGGTTTAATAAAAAATGATTTTACAAAGTGGACCAATTGTGTTGCATTGAAATTAATTCCCGAATCGTGGGAATCACATTGGGACGAAACACTCGAAATTATTGTCAATAATACAAAATGGAATATAAAGAATTATCATGAAATTTCAATGAATTGTTTTAATTTTATTATTGAATTTCTGGAAATTTTGAAATTTGAAGACATTCAATTTATGAATAAAGAAGAAATGTGTGAAACTTTCATTTTACCGAAACTTCAAGAAGCTATTAGATATATTTCATTGTACAGAAAATTAATGAATGATAATTACTTCATACAGGATTAATTTTTAGAAAAATATTTTTTTGTTAATATTTTAATTAAAGATAAATGATTTTTTAGATTATTGAAAATTTTTTTGACAAATTGTAAATAATGTTTTACATTGTCGGATTTTAAATGGGTTTGAGAAATTTGTCATTTTCTACTTTAAAATTTTCGATTCTTGGAAGAAAGTACGGCTACATTTCCTTGCGCTCTTTGCAAACATTTAAAAGTAATGATGAAAATAAATTCGACGTTATTGTCATTGGAGGAGGACATGCTGGAACAGAAGCTTGTACGGCTGCAGCTAGAATGGGAGCAAAAACACTACTTGTCACGCATAAAAAAAGCACAGTTGGTAAACGATTTTTATTTATTACTAATTATAGTTTTCTATTTTATCACAACTAGTAATGCAATTTTTAAGATTTCTTTAAAATAGAAAATTGAAATTTTTAGGTGAGATGTCGTGTAATCCATCATTTGGAGGAATTGGGAAAGGTCATCTTATGAAGGAAGTCGACGCCCTGGATGGTGTTTGTGGACGAATTTGCGATAAATCTGGAATTTATTATAAAATTCTTAACCGCAGTAAAGGTCCGGCTGTATGGGGTTTGAGGGCTCAAATTGATCGTAAATTGTACAAAGAAAATTTGCAGTCCGAAGTTTTTAACACACAGAACTTGGAAATTTATGAATCCGCTGTAGAAGATTTAATACTTCAGAATGAATCTCAATGCTGTGGAATAATATTAAGTGCGTTACATTTCTATTTATTTATTTAATTAATAATTGTTTTTTTACAGTGGTATTTATAGCGACTGAGACTTCAATGAAATGAAATTTATGATTCATTACATTTCGAACAACTGAAAATTCAGTTAAAGATCATTTCGAACAGAAAAAAATTCTGTTAAATAATAATTTAGAAAAATAGGAACTGTAACAGATGAAATATCGGTAAAACGAAAATTAGTTCAAATAATCAATTGGACAAATGAAAATCTCTATTAAACAATACATCTGCAAAATAAAAATTAGAGCTAATGAATCTTCGGAAAAACGAAAATTAGATTAAATAGTAGTTCTTGTAAAAACAGCTTATGACAACTGGTGATTCGGCGAAGTGAATTTCGGTTAATTGTCATTATGTCAAATAGAATTTGTAGGAGATTTATGCGTCCCGAAAAAAAAAATATTAATTTTGTTTATAGATATTGAGCTTTCTGTAGGTGGGACATTTATGTCCCAGGGGCACTAATAAAATGCCTATTTCTTCATAGAAATTCACTAATTCTTTAAATACCCTATATTGACTGAAAAATTCCTATGATAATTGATGAATAACATATTTTTTAGAGAATGGTACGAAAATATTCAGCAGTACAGTTATAATAACAACAGGAACTTTTCTTAAAGGAGTAATTAATATTGGTTTAGAGAAGAGACCAGCTGGACGAATTGGTGACGAGCCAAGTATCGCTTTAGCGGATACTTTAGAAAGAATTGGATTTCGTATGGGAAGACTTAAAACTGGTAAATATCAATATTTGTATATATTTAACACAAATTTCAAAAACACTTTAAATTTATTTACACATATAAACGGCCAGTGCTCTTTCGTACATAGAGTACTAAGAATTAAAAATTAAATGGAAAGTAATATAATATAATGCGAAGTGATGACAATCTAATTAGTATTTGCAAGAACCACGTAAATTTATTTAATGAGATACCATAAAAATCAATAATATCATGGTATTGACTTGCCTCTCTACACAGTCTTAACAGTATCGAATTGGCACAAGAGTCAGTCCGATAACAATACTGTTTGAACACAGAAGGGTTTCTTCTTACTGGCCTGAAAGGAACAAAAAACTGCAGTAATGACAAAATCGACGGGCAATTAATAATCCTATTTATGATCTTAAATATAAAAATTAAATCAGCATATAAAAATCTATGTTTAATTAAGGGGATGCTCAAAACCCTTCTGAGCTCAGAGTAGTCGTGACTAAGGAAATCGAAAGGTAATCTTAATTGTCTCGCAACAAAACGTATAAATCTATTTTGAACACGCTTTAACACAGTGATGTAACATTCCTGATAAGGGGACCAGATTGATGCTGCAAACTCAATAATTGGCCTTACCAATGAGAAAAATAAAGTTTTTGGTGCCAAAATATTTTAAAAGCGATAGACGCTCCTAGTGATAAGACCCAAGACCTTATTTGCCCTATTAATAACGTTCTGAATATGATTTCTATAATCTAAGGCAGGGTCCAAGAGTACTCCGAGATCGCGAACCTGGGTAACCCTGGAAACCAACTCAGTACCAAGTAAATAATTAAAATTTATGACTTCTACACGTTTCGAGAAGGAAATGACGCTACATTTTTTTATATTTAAGGGAAGTCTATTCTTAATGGTCTACTCATGGAGTCGGTCAAGATCCTTTTGAAGATCAAGATATTTTTTGAAATAGAATATAGAATAAGAAAATAATGAGTTATACAGTTAATTAATAATTTATTATCAATAATAAATAAGACAATCTGGTATCATTGAATATCATTTTATCTATTTCAACCCTTAAGTACTACTTATGCTACATATTAAATTAATAGAATGAATTTCGTTTTAAACATTTTCTTGTCTTTATCAAAATTTTTGGATAATTGATTAATATTTTACTTTTATTCTAGGCACTCCACCAAGACTAGCAAAATCGACAATAGATTTTTCCCAATGTATGATTAATCCACCTGACAAATTACCGACACCGTTTTCATTTATGAACGAGAAAGTATGGTTGGAACCAGAGAAACAATTGAATTGCTTCCTAACGTTCACAAATGAAGCGGCAGCTAAAGTTGTTAAAGACAACTTACATTGTAATTTACACGTAACGGAGGAAATTACTGGACCACGATATTGTCCCAGTTTTGAAAGTAAAGTACTAAGATTTAAAAAAGATCGTCATCAAATTTGGCTCGAACCAGAAGGACTTGATTCACCTCTAATTTATCCTCAGGGAATGTCTTGCACTTTGCCAGTTGATAAACAACAAGAACTTTTTAGGTGTATTCCTGGTTTTGAAAAAGTCGAAATAGGTTTGTTCTATAGCTGATTTTTATTTCTAGAACTTTTCCTTAAAATTTAATAAAAGTAGAATTTTTTAACAATTAATTAATTAATTTTTTTTAAATTTTATATAATATTGATGTAAAAATTGCTATACTGTTTTTTTTTATAGTTAGACCAGGATATGGTGTCACTTACGACTACATAGATCCTCGAGAACTAACTCAAGAGCTTGAGACCAAAAGAATCTCTAATTTATTCCTCGCTGGTCAAATAAATGGAACAACAGGTTATGAAGAAGCTGCTGCACAAGGAATCGTCGCTGGAGCAAATGCAGCTGCAAAAGTATTAAAAAATTGCTGAAAAATTAATTCTTGTTTAGCAGTAAAAATTGTTGAATATTTGTTTAAAAAAAACTTTTTTTATGATAGAAAATAATGTTTGTTTACAAAATATGTTTATAACAAAATATGATTTCTAAAATTTAAATATTCTTCTCTTTTAGGTCTTGAAAAAACCACCTTTGTTAATAAGTAGAAGTGAAGGTTACATCGGAGTTATGATTGATGATTTAATAACACAAGGAACAACTGAACCTTATAGAATGTTTACAAGCAGAGCTGAATTTCGTTTGTCCCTAAGACCCGATAATGCAGATCGAAGGCTCACGTACAAGGGATTTGAAACGGGAATCGTATTAAAAGAGCGATTGGAAAAGACTCGTAATTTGCACGAAAAAATGTCGAATTGCATCGAATTGTTAAAATCCGTTAAAAAAAGTTCGAGTTCATGGGCAAAACTCCTTTCAATAAAGAGTACAACAACAGAATTAAAAACTGCTTTCAATATTTTAGGTATTACAAACTATGACATTGATTTTCAAACTTTAATTGAAAAAATGCCCGAAACTTTTGGACAATTTGAAGGAGATTTAATTTTAGCAAACAGACTAAAGGTACTAATTAAATTTTTAAAATCGAATTACATAAATATATGGAAAATATGAATAAAAATAAATTTTAAATTATTACTTTGTAGATTGAAGCAATTTATGAGCCTTATGTTGCCTGTCAAGAAAACGAAATTAAAGAACTTAAAATCAATGAACAAATGCGAATCCCAAAGAATTTAGACTACACATTGTAAGTAAATTAACTGATTAATTATAGTATTAAATTCTATTACAAAAAGTGAAAAAAGTTTGAAAATATTAATTTTACTATAATAGTTTGCGTTGAACTTGAAATTAATTTTTATAGAGAGTCTTTAAATCTTTCGATGGAAGATAGAGAAAAACTTATTGCAGCAAGTCCACAAACTGTAAGTAAACTATTTATAAATTGCTGGTTGCATTCACAACTATTTTCCTTCAGATTTGTTATTTATTTATAGATAGCAGCAGCGAACAAAATTTCCGGCGTAACACCTTATGCAATTTGGAAGCTGATAAATTTTCTAAAACGACTTGAACATGTTTCATAGTTGTTTTTTAATTTGCGTGTACAGCATTTGTATTATTTGTAAATAAATAATGTCTTAATTTACATTTTTTACTAGTTTTTTAAAATAATTTTTCCTCACTTTCTCGACAATTTGTAAAAGTCAATTTTCATGATTCTGGGAGTGAAAATAATGAAGTAGTTTCATTGAACCAGTTTAATTTTCTGAGAAACGACTGAAAGAAACTCTTCCGAACTTTAGATATAAATGAAGTTTTTGTAAATACACAACGTTCATAAATTTTCTTCATAAAGATTTATTATTTACGAAGAAAAAAAATGTTTTTGACATGTGGAAAAAAAAGTTGCTTCATATGTAAAGACATTCTTTTTATTAACGTGCGACACTATTTAAAAATAAATTAACTTATGATTTATTCTGCTTCGAATGTTAGCTACAAAATTACGAGTACAAGTTCCATTATATTATTAATCTCGAAAGTAATTTATAACTAGTACAAATATAAAGTTATAAAAAAATCTCATGTCTTTTCGGATTGTTAAATTGTTTTTTAATTTAACTTCTATTAGAAATTTCGCACCAAATTTTCAAATTTTCTCATTTCCTACTCTTGTGTCATGTTCTTTAATATCTTTATTTATTTTTTGTTCATTTACATTCAATCCAACAGTAATTGAATTTCTTCTAAAGTTTTGCCCTTAGTTTCCGGCGTGACAAAGAAACCTGCCAGTGAAAATACGAAGCACAATACACAGTATATCCAAAAAGTACCATGAATCCCGATATTGTTGGTGAGATTTTCAAAGGTGAATTTTGTCAAGAATTCAAGAAGTTGACCTTCCAAAAATAATACCGTAAGAGCAGTGCTTTTGATTTGAATCGAGAAAAGCTCGACTCCCAATACACCAGCAGTTGCAGCAAGAGCGATACATCCGATATCTAAAACAACCAAAGCGATCAGTGGAATCCATGAAAATATATTCATATCATTTGAATCAATATGACTTTTCCAGAAAAAGAAACAACCGACAATTAACAGACTCAATGAACAGGCAATACTTGAATATAAAATTACCAATCGTCTACCAATAATGTCAACCAGTAAAATCGTTGGGACAATGAGAATGGCGACTGTTGGTGCCATGATTAACATGATATATTGAGGTCCCAAGGTAAATCCGGTGTAACTGAAAATAACTTGAAAATACGTTGCAATAACTCTCGCTCCAGAAAACACGACTGCTATTTTTAAAATTGCTACAATTATTAATGACTTCCGGTGACGTTTATTCTCAATTAAACTTCGCAGAACAAATTTTTTATTTCTTCTATCTTCAATGATGACTTCTTTTATTTTACTTATTTCTAATTTCAATGTCTGTGTGTCGTTGACACCTTTGAATTTTGATAAAACTTTCAATGCCTCCTCGTCTTGATTCCGTTGCAAATAAAAATAAGGTGATTCCGGCATAAAACTAAAAGTCGCCATGAAAATCAATGGGAAACACATAATCGTTAAATTCATTCCATTGTAGGTGGTAAATGCTCCTGTAACTAAAATACTAATTGTACCAATTAAAAATCCTAAGGCTGGAATAGCGCCTAGTCGTCCACGAATATTTTTATCAGCTATTTCACTGATGTAGAAATTTTGTGCAACTCCACCAGCTCCAAAACCAATTCCACCAACAATTCGTGCTGCATATAACATGCTGACATCATCTGCCATAAAGAGTATTAAAGATGCTATGAATTGTGGTAAAGCGGATGCAAGAAGTGTGTACTTTCGTCCAATTCGATTTATTAGAAATGGATGTATAAGAAAACCAAATATTTCACCAACATTGAATAAAGAAACCACCCAGGAAATTTCGTCTGATGTCACTTTGAATTTGAAATCGTCACTTATTAAATGTGGTAATGCTGGTGATAACCACATTTCAAATGCACCTGATGCGATGCTCATAGTACTGACTGTAATTTAAATAGACGTTAACCATAAGTTTATTCTGAAATTTAAGTTATTAATTTTAATAATTAAAAATTGTAGGATTGTACAAAAAATAGATCACTTTTTGGAGCACCCTCTTGGTATTTAAGGGCTATTTCAATAACTTCATGCTTTGGCGCAGCGTATACTTAATTTTTATGGACGTATTTGTGACAATCATTATTAGCTGACGATATTACAAGCTTCTTGTAATTTTCAACTAATAAATTTCTGGTTTTAAATTGTAGCTGATATATTCCTCTTTAAAATTAATATATGAATAGTCTGACTCGGCGATATGTCCAAAAAGTGTGGAGGGGTATGAAAGTTGTGTACATACCCAAAGCGGGAAAAAGCGGATAAACCTAAACGAAGGATTTCTATCCTATTAGCCTCACATCTTTTATTCTAAAATTAGTTGAAAGACTAGTGAATAGATATATCCTCTGTGAGATCCTGAAGCGGTGTCTGCTACATAGAAATTTCGCCAATAGAGCGAAATGCTCTACGGAGACAGCCTTGGCCAAAGTAGTTGACCTCTTTGATGAACAACTACAAAACCAGGGTTTTGCTGTAGATGTTTATATGGACATAGAAGAGGCTTCTATTCAGGCCTCTCCAGAGTCTATAAAAGGAGCTATGATAGCTTTTAATATACCTGCAGTAATTGTTGATTGGACTTGTCATATGTTAAAGAACAGGGACAGCTCTTATCAACGAAAGGGAATCAGTCCTGGAAGGAATACTTAACTGTGGATCTCCCTAGAGAGGACTTCTTTCGTCTTTGCTGTGGTCCTTGATAGTGGATGGATTTATTAATCGTTCGTGGTCCCCATCTAGATGCAATACTCACAAAAGGCATTAAACCGGGTTGATAGAAGGTGTAAAAAAGTGGATCTATCTGTAAATCCTGTAAAAACAGAAGTTGTTATCTATACCAGACGGTAAAATTGGAAAACTCTGTGCAAGAGCTTTAGTTTACAGAGCAGGGAAAATAGGCAAAATCTAAGGGTAATCCGGGATAGTAAGCTGCTGTGGAAAAATAACTTAGAGGACCCAGTAATAAATAAAAGGTCTAACGACGTCTTTTCGACATCTAAATGGGTCTTTTTAGATATGTTAGACATCGATTAGATCTTTCATTTCTCACTGGGGAGAAGTGCAAGAAACTTCAAGCTGCCCTTTGGCAAAGCAAGAAGGAATACAAGCGTCAGTTGGGGTCTTCAACCGAACACACTGTTATGAATTTATGAAGCTCACAAGCTCTCCAGGCTCGTGTGGTTTGGTGGAATGGAGTCTAATTAAGGGCCTGGATACTATAACAACCGCTGTGCTTGGTTGTAGGGGATAGTACCAGTCAGGAAGCAGTGAACGGCCCAGAGGCGCTCACTGTTGCCTGGCTGGTATTATCCCCTACAACCAAGGGCAGCGATTGTTATAGTATCCAGGCCCTGAATTAAAGACATCAAAAACTAAATTGGCGCTTGTAAAGGACACGGTACTAAGGGGCCTTATGGGTGCACAATGGTCACAGTGGATTCATTGACAATGATAAAGCGGATGAACTAGTCAAAGCGAGTCAAGTCAGTTGCGTTTCTGTTTTTAGCATCTTATCTGAACTTGACATCGCAAGCTGCAATGAGGATTGAGACAAATGCATTAAGCTACGAGAAGGACAGGCAGCATGTATTGATATCATTGCAGAGAAGGTTAAGAAGACGCTGAAGACCTGCAAGGTGCAGATAAATGTCGATATGACTATTAAAGAGGGATAAGGGCTAAAATCGCTCATTCAGAACATCAGAGTAAAGCACGATGAAGCGAAAAGGAAGGATGAGCGCCTCTATCAAGATTTATTCTGGTCAGAGGAGGTGCGACAGGTACGAAAACGCAGAAGAGAGAGATTCAATGCAATTGCATTGAGAAACGTTGCTATAGCGTCACAGAAAATGAGATTAAGCAGTCCTGAAACTGCGATTGGACAAAATAAAAAGAAGGAGAATGTGAATCCTCCCAAACCGTCTGTGGGTACGGTCGACAAAGCGTCGAATGCAAACCCAGGCAGAGAGGTACCAACGCTACCGCTAGAATCAACAATGATTGTCAAGGTAGCTGAGGGAATTAGTTATGCTGATGCCTTGGGAAAGATTAAAATAGAGTTTGAACCTGATGCCAGCCAGGCAAGAGTAGTATGAGCAAGACCTACGAAGAAAGATGACCTTCTTATAAAAATAAAAGGATCACAAGGTAAGGAGAAGTTCACCGAGGAGGTGACAAGGATTGTAGGAGAGCTTGGTAAGGTGCAGATGGCGAATCGAAAGGATACACTGGAGATCCGTGACTGGAATTGCCTTACTGACAATGCCGAAGTCCAAGAAGCCTTGGTGAAAATTTTAGGAACACCATCAGATGGTAGAAGAATGACGGTCGCGGTCCTAGGGCCTAACAAGCGTGGCTTGAAGGCAAAAGTATTATACAATGGTCCACTTATTAATTTTATTTATCTATGGTCGCGATTAAAGTGAAAGCCGAAGTTATGTATTAAATGAAAATTTTTGATTGATTCAAAGCCTAAGGTTTTATTTGATTCATTACTTGACAGTTAGCATTAATTTAAGTCTAATTAGAGACTCTTAGCACTTCGGCATTATTCTCTACACGTGATCGAAAAAGGGCAAGACCAGGGTTTTTTGAGACTTTCAAGTCCATTTTTTTCAAAATCTCGATGTTATGGGCACTTTTGGAGATCAGATTCGTGTTCAGCGATGAATATCTTATGAGAATATCCTCGTCCGATCGCGATCTTTGCATTATTTTGCGTGTCTATCAGTATAATGTATCTTAAGTCAAGTGTATTTTTATATTTCTTATCAAAAAAACTTTTACGAACATTTCAAATAAAGTTTATTATTATAAATTTTATTTATAATATTTATTATAAATAAGTTTTTTTTCCTTCTTAAATAAATTTTATCAAATTCGCTATTTTTAGGGCTCTAGAAGTAGAATTCTACCTTAATCCATTATTTAAAATTTTCAAAATCTGATAATATTATTATTAATATATTATTATAAATTGTATTATATTACTATAACGAAAAGCAATTATCATTTGTAGAAAAGGGGTAAAAATTGGTGGGTGTGCTCCAAAAATTGATTTTCTTGTATTCTTATAAGGCTAAAGTCTGCAACGTTTTAAAAATTAAAAAAGAATTATTTAATTTAATAGAATTTTTGTTTACACAATTTTTTAAATTGTGATAGTTACCCTCGTATAATTTAAAAAGGCCAAAGTAATTCATCATATTGTATTTTGTGTTCGTTTTGGATTCTGAAAACGTTGCGGACTTGAAACTATACTAGCTGCTTTTTGATATACAAATTTTATTATAATGAATTTCTGGATGAACGATAAAAAACCAGAAAATTTTGTTTATTATCGTGTACGAATAACGACAATCATTACTACAAGTTTCATCAGATTTTTTCTTAAAATAGCCACAATGTTTTTAAAATAAATGTAATTAGTGTCAATTCTAAAATTAATTTTTCCTATAAATATCAATCAGGCCTTTAATAATCATTTAAAAATTATGTTCTTCAAAATTTGTATTCAATGAATTCGAAAACTTTTAAGGAAATTTTTATATTTATTCAGATATTCAAAACTATTTAGTATAACAATATAATTTGGGTTGATAATAATTTATTTACCACTAATGACTGCGACAAATTGCATCCAATTACTTCCATTCTTCTCAAGAATTTCACTGGTTTCATTTTTTTCACTAGGAACTTTCCACACATGATTTCTCTTGAATAACGAACGTATAAAATTTATTTTCATAATTCTTATTATTATTATTGTTTATAAATTTGTTTTAGTACAAAAAAATCGAGTATTATGTACTTAACTTTGAAAGAGACTTTATTATGACCGTGGTAATTTGCTGACTTTAGATATACTCATATCTCTAACCGTCTATTTATTTTTCTACCACGTATTCTTGAATCTTATCTGTAGTTTTTTTGTATCGCAATTTTTACAATTATTCAATGTGAATCGTAAATGACAGGTACAGAGAATGCACGCGGAATGACTTGTCATATTAAAATTATCATTCTGAATTACGTAAAAATCAGACAAAAAACATTTTACAAAATTTTAAAAAAACTTTTAACGTCAGGACTTAATAAATATATATCATTTATAAACTTTTGTATAGAAACAAATTCATTTCAAAAATCATAAATTAATCTAATTTTTGTCATACTATTTTAAAAAAAAAACTAAAAAAACTAGCAATTAATTTAATCTGAAAATTTCGTTTAATACATTTTTTCATAACTTATTAAAAATTGTTAAACGTTTTATTAAATGTCGTTTCAATTCAGTAATAATTGGATTTCTTCTAAACTTTTCCCTTTGGTTTCCGGTAGAAATTTTAAAGTGGTCATGAAAAATAAAAATGAAACAACCGCATATGTCCAAAATGTACCGTACATATCAAAAGTTCGAATAGAACTCGAAAAACTGAGTTTCAACAAAACTTCAACAATTTTTGTTTTTATGTATATAAAAGACAGGGCAGGACCTTTAACTTGAATGGAAAATATTTCACCAGAAAGTATCATTGACGTACTAACTAATATATCAGTTGTTATAATAAAAATAATAATTGCCAACAGTGGTGTCCAAGCGATGGATGATAAATTCTCAATTTGTAAATAATTTTTCATAAAGAAAAATAAACCTAAATAAAATAAACTTATGAAACTTATGATACTGGCATATATAATGACATATCGTCTGCCAAATATGTCAGCCAAATAGAGAATTGGCACGACAAACACAATTGACGACGTTGTCACAATTAACGTTGAATATTCCGGTGCCAAAGAAAATCCAGTGTACATGAATATCTCCTGTATGTAAACTAGAATGACCCCATTACCGGAGAAAAGCGTACCCAATTTTATGCTTGTTATTATAATAAATCCTTTTCGATAACATTTGTTTTGGATAATGTTTCGTATAGTGAGTTTTACGCCCTTCTCCTCCTCAATACTTTCCTGAATTCTTTTCACTTGCAAGATTATTGATTGAGGATCGTTATTTTTTCTGTATTTCGATAAACTTTCAATTGCCTCATCCTCGCGATTGACTTTCAAATAAAAATACGGCGACTCTGGAACTTGAAGAAAGGGGATAATAAATGCTGGTTGAATTAATAGAATTATTAAATTCATTGTGTCGTATGAAAGAAAAGCACCAAGAAGCATTGAACTGATGCTTCCCAATGATGACGAGAACCATGCAATGGACATTATTAGGCCACGATTATCTTCATCTGCTACTTCGTTCATAAATATTATTTGCGTTACAAGCATTGCACCTAGGCTAAATCCGCCAATAATTCGAGCTGAGTAGAGTGTTATTATGTTTTTAGCAATGAAAATTAAGGTACACGACAGTATTTGAGGGAATGCGAAGATAATTAGGGTGTACTTTCGGCCGAAACGATCGATTAACAACGGATACGTGAGAAAACCAAGAATCTCGCCTACATTGAAGATGGAAGCTAGCACTGAAATTTCATCTTCTGAAATTCGAAATTTAAAGTCGTCGCTTATTAAAAATGCTAGAGCTGGAGTCATCCACATTTCTAACGATGCAAGTCCAAGGCTCATTAGAAAAACTGAAAAATAAAAATATGTTAAAAGCTGATGTTAAAGAAGAATTGATTTCTGCGCTTTTTAATGTTTTTCTTTTTTTGTAGATTTCGATCTGGGGAATCACCTTCATTTTTCTCTATGCTTTAGAAAAGTAGTAAAAATTAGAAGAAACCAAATTATTGTGTCTTTATCTAACACCCTTCAGTCCTACAAACTATCCCACACAGTCTTGGAATAGATTATAATATCCAACAATTCCTTTCTGTTAACACAATTTGTATATTGGTTTATTACTCTGATTTAGAATATTTAAATCCGTTTTGATAAAAAAAAGTCTAGAAGCTCTAGATTGCTGTCAACGTCAAGATCTTTTTTTGATGATGGGTTTTAATGTCAATGCGAACCTTGTTGTATGAAGTAGCATTGACATTAACGATAAAGTCAAGATTTTTAGGAATTTAAAAATTTTAAATTAGGGTAATGAACCAACTTTCATTTCTGTTAACAGAAAGGATGTGTTGGACATTGCGATTTGTTCCAGGTCTGTGTGGGATGCTGTGAGCGATGAAGATTCTCTTACTGACTAAATTAGGCTGCCACTGTGTTTAATTATAATTATAATAAAGGCTTTAGATGGATAATTAATTTGGGTTTGATTAATTTGATTAATTTGGGTGGATAATTTTATTACACAGGAGTGTTTAAAGGATTGTCCTTTACATTCAGGACAACATGCTTATAAAGCTGGTTTCTCCGTAGAAACAGCCCTACATTCTGCAGTAGGTAGAATAGAGGGAGCAGCGTGACGAGTCAAGCCAGCTGCATTTCTGTTTTAAGTAATGCTTCTGCGATTGACATTGCTAGCTGCAATGAAGATCGAGAGGAATGCATTAAGCTGCGGGAGGAAGAGGCAGCGAGCATTTTAAAAATGGAGGATGAAGTCAGCAAGATGCTGAAATCCTGTGAGGTCCAGAGAAATGTCAATATGACAATCAAGGATGGACTGAGAAGCATAACATTGCTCATACAGGATGTGAAGGAGAAGCACGCAGCAGCGGCCAGAAAAAAAGAGAAGTTCTACCAGGGATTACCCTGGTCAGAAGAAGCACACAAAGACCGAAGGATGAGACGTGACCGTTTCAACGCAGCAATGCTAAGAAACGTTGTCTTGGAGAGTTAGAAGCGGAAGAGAAGTGGTCCAGAGTTTGTGAAGGACACAAAGAGGAAGAAGGAGGATGGACCTCCTAAAAGGACTGAAGGCAAGGGTATCAAGTCGGCACCAAAGTCAAAATCAGTCAAGGGAAGAAGACAGCCACAACGACGAACAACAATGATCGTTAAAGTGTCTGAAGGAACATCATTCGCTAACGTGCTGAAGAATGTTCGTGAAGAGGCTGACCTGGAGGCCAGTAAGACAAGGATTGTGGGAGCTGTGCCTACTAAAAAAAGAGACCTTCTTATCAAAATTGGAGGGACTTCAAGTAAGGCGTCATTCACCGAGGAGGTGACGAGATTCATTGGAGCCCTAGGTAAGTTGCAGATGGCGGACCGGCGAACTACGTTGGAAATCCGCGATATGGATGCCCTTACAGAAAAGGAAGACGTACTGGGTGCCCTGGAGAAAACTTCTACGGTATCAGCAGGAAGTAGGAAGGTGAAGGTTCTAGAACCAAACAAGCGAGAAGCAAAGCTCCCTGTCGTGGTCACCAGTCAGGAAGACGCTGATAAGCTGGAGAAAATCGGGCACATAAAGATTGGGTTCGTCTCCTGCAAGATAAGAAGAAGAACTATGGTCACAAGGTGTCATAGGTGCCTTGACTATGGCCATATAGGTAGAGATTGCCAAGCAGTAGACAGGTTGGCTGCGTGCTTTAAGTGCGGAGAAGCCGGCCATAAGGCAGCAGATTATAAGAAGAGCCCATGCTGCTTCTTATGCCAGGCAAAGTTCGGCGAGAAGGAGAATATCCACCATGTCGCGGATTAGGAGGATGCAAAGTCTTCAGAACTGCCTTCGAAGAAGCAAGGAAGACTTTGTCAAGAACAAGAAGGAAATAAGGCCAGAACAAGAGCGGCACGGGAGAGTCGCGCCAGCGACTACATGGGACCATTCATCTATGAAGTCTGAAGCCACTAAGTAGTTCCGTAGGTGGATAAAAGGTTCGAAACCCAGGGGATCAAGAAGTTTTTTTTTAGTCGGTATTCGTGGTATGCAAGGTTTATTTTTTATCCTTATATTTTGTGCGTTGAGTCCGACATAACAAGCTAAAGAGGTCATAGAAAGATGGAATCAAAAGGAAGAGAAAACATATTGGACAGGAATTGGATCAGTCATTATAGCTGGTGCCGAGCAATCTTTGACCGTGAGAAAGTTTTTAGGAATTTCCCAGGAGTGATTCCCTGGAATTTCTCGGTAACATTACCAGGAACTTTTTCTCGTAGGGTTTAACCTTTTCTCATTTTGAGCTACAATAAAAATGAGGAAATTATCAGTTTGGTAAAATGACAGTTAAGACAACTGGTAGTTATGCTAAGTAGACAATTCTAATTAACGTCAGTTTGACAAGTGGGAGTTCAGTTAAATGACAATTGGGAATATTGATGCACCTTTCAAAAAAATTGATATCATGTGAAATTATCAATGTCTTTCTAATTGATACCACTTTTCCGAAGGCACTGAACAAAATAATAGAGAATACCCCGTGATTTCCCAGATTGATATCTTTAAGAATACACTAAAAATCCACTTCTCATTTTTGGGGATGAAAAACAATCCAAATATAACACACTCTGTTAGTATAAAAGTTATTTTAATAAGAGGGAAGCTTCCTTACATATTTTTAAAAGATTTATAAAATAAAACCTAAAATATGTTTTAATTAATTTATAGTTACCACTAATAAATAGAGTCCACTGTACACATTGATTTCTATTTTTTGGATGGTCTTTGACACATATTTGACTCTCACGAGGAACTTTCCAAACAGACTTTTTCCTTAAATATAAATATTTCCGTTTTATAAAACAGTGAATTAATACATTATTTATTAATAATATTTACAATTTTTTAATTTATGATTTTTTAATTTCTTTAAAAAAATATTTAATGTTTAAAAGCGTTTCTTTACAAATTATATTTTCTTGATTTTTAAGTAGTCAAAAATATTCTTTTTGCAATTAGAAACCAGAATATTACTTACATTTTGAAATTGAATTTATATCTAGCGTTAAAATTTTACTTGCTTAAAATTGAAACAAATTTATTTGATTAATGTAATTTTTAAATAGTTAAAGTTTTCACATGATGCACTAAATATCACTGTATTTTATTTTTTAACGTTTTTATTCACGCTTTTGCTTCCTCAAATAAATAATATTGATTACAAATTGTTCATGTTAAAGGTCTATTCGAAAGCACTCCGATACTTATTCGCTTCGAATGAATTGATTCAGGAGTAGTTAATATCTTATCTGATAGTCGTAAAGAAGATTATACCTAAGATAAGTGCTTTGCATATGTTTGCAAAAATGGAACTGAATTTACTGCCTTTACAAATCCCTAAATTATTGAAAACAATTTTTTTATGTTGGTATTTGTATTCAAACATAAATTACTATAAGTGTCGTAGCAGTTGGAAATTGCTAGCTAATAAGCCTTAATATTATAAATACAATATTGCACATTGCATGAAATTTCGGGTTCAATATTTGCTTAAAGTTTGAGTTGAATACTTTCTAACAAAGTGAAAAATTTTCATATTATACAGTGCCGCTCAATAACTTTTGCCCACCCTACAGCGATTGAAGGCTTTACAAAAAGTTTTGTATTTTGTTTATTATTAAAGATAAAAAGCTCAAAAAGGTCTCTTTTCAAAGCTTTTTTCCTGAGCTTTAACACTGTATAAAACCAAAATTAAAAAAATTAATTTGTTAATGTTTAAAAAATGTTATTGCAACATAAAATTTTTCGTTTTTTTTTCGTTTTTTTTAAAGTGATACAGTTTCATAGGAAATGGTCGCATTTTAATCCAACACATATTTTCTGAAAGCTAGTTTTATCACGTTTGAAATGCATTTTTTAAAATTTTTATACGATTATTTTTAAGAAAATGACAATCGTCAAAGTAAGAACCTTTAATCCGTTTACAAACTCAATATAATAAATAAGTATTATATCAAAAGTTATTTAAATAATTGGTGAGTTAAAATTATTGAAAAAATTAAATAAATACGATGAAAAATTTTCTTGCTTGTTGTAGTGAGTGTAAAAAGCGATTTTCTACAATTAAAACATAAAAATATAAAAAATGATAAAAATTTTTTTGTTTAAAAAAAATTTTTTTTAAATAAAAATTTTTAATATTTTTTTTCTAATTCTGCACACAAAAAGGAACAATTTATGTTCTTAAAATTTTTTTCCTAAAGTAACCGTTTTTGAGTTATCACGAATTGAAAAAATGGCTTATTTTTTAAACAAAAAATCATATTTATCTTAAAAATTATCGTATAAAAATTTTAAAAAATGCATTTTAAAGGTGATAAAACTAGCTTTCAGAAAATATGTGTTGGATAAAAATGCGACCATTTCCTATTGAACTGTATCACTTTAAAAAAAACGAAAAATTTTATGTTGCAATAATATTTTTTAAACATTAACAAATTAATTTTTTTAATTTTGGTTTTATGAAGTGTTAAAGCTCAGGAAAAGAGCTTTGAAAAGAGACCTTTTTGAGCTTTTTATCTTTAATAATAAACAAAATACAAAACTTTTTGTAAAGCCTTCAATCGCTGTAGGGTGGGCAAAAGTTATTGAGCGGCACTGTACACATATTTCATGAGTTTTTCATACGGAAATTTTTGAGAAAATTCCTTTCGTTGCATAGGATGAGCGGTGCAAATCCTTATTAAGAAACGAGTAGATATGTAAATTAGGTAAAGGAAGATATTCTTATTTTATTTATTTTGGAATGAGGAAGAAGCACGTGGTTAAATTTAAAGAGAGATGTTCTTATGTCAGTGTTATGGAATGACAAAGTAAGGAAAGATTAGATTTTTACATCGCAATGTAGTTGCAGAAATAAGAATAATAAATAAAAATAAGTTGTTGGTTGGTTATAATTTTTACTTTCAGAAATACTTTACTATTATTAGGATTTATTTTAGTTTCATTGATTACTGAAATAAGTTGCGTATTTAATTTTTTTGAAAGTAATATCTTAATTGCGCCATACTACATGAAATGTTTGCAGCTACCGAAACATTTCAAAGATACGAAATTTAAGAACGTTTTCATTTACACTCTCTGATGTCTGGCCTTTGAGCTCTCCTTGATTTATTCCTTTTCGCTTCGTTTAACGAAAAGCTCTCTCCGCTCCTCTGTACAAATAGAGTAACTCGTATTGGAAGAAGGTTGTGCGAAAGTAACTACCAAAGCGTTTCTCGTTAAAATGACTTTAACTACAAATGCACATTATTTTTGCAACAAACATTATAAAAGAAACATCAAATATTATTAATTCAGCTGAATAAACCTTTTAATTGATGGACTAAAAATAGTATTTCATACTTTTTATATTCACTACCTTCGTGGAACTTCTATTAATTTCGATTATAAAATTATCAATGAAATGAAAGTAATACTTATGATAAAAAATTTAATTTAAATTCAATATTTTAATTCAAAAATATAATATTTGTTCTGATATATTTTTTTTACTTCTGCTCCAGTAAGTCAGTCCAGTTGAGCTATTCACAAAATCAATTCTATCATTTTATTAAAGTGGCCCCCACGAAGTTTTAGAATTTAAATTTGATTTTAAAGAAAGATATATATATATGCAAGTTGCTGAAAAGTAAAGCAGAATTTCCTCTTGGCATAATATATATCGTGACTTTAGGAACCGGAAACTTACTCAATTGAATTAGGAAGGGTCCATCAAGTTTGCAACTGTTCAGTTCCGAATGGTCCAGTGAAGCGTGCACAGAGTAAATGTTATTAGCAGTCTACTCGAATAACTAAATTAGGCTCTGCAAGCACCCAAGGTGGCTCTTAGAACAGTTTTACAATTGTTCTTCCCAATCTCTAATACTTACAGATTCACAGACTTTACTTTAAATCAAAACTTCTTGTACTTCATGAGATTAATTCAGAAGAGCCTTCATCACGACTGTAATACTTGACATTTTAGATACTTTTATTTTTGTAATCTTAGTAAAATTGTAGCGATGTAAATTTATCCAATAAAATAAGAATAAGTTCGGCATTTGCTTTATTGTTTAAGCTAGTTGAATGCTGATACAAAAAAATTAGATGTGGTCTCATAAAAAATACTGGAGAGTTAGCGCCTATTAGGCAGCAACCTGACTATCATGTAAATAAGTTAGAATTAGAATTTCATCGACAGGATTGATCATTTTGCTAATAATCATTTTGCTTTTATTTGGAGAAGTCGAAAAGAAGCTCAGTTTAAATCTTTGCAATACCGTTTTACTATTTTACGCGTCAAAAAATCTATCTGAAGTTTTGAATCCCCCAATTTTCATTGACAAATAACAACCAGCAATTCCGCGCAGCTATGTAAACTGTATACTATAAATATTAAAAGAATTACTTACCTCAGAGTGTTGCAAAATTCAAAGGAATTAATAGACTCCGATAAATTAAAATGAAATAGACATGAATTGGACTTACCACAGAGTATTTCAGGATATGAAAATTGAAGTTAGTTACAAGCGTCCCTCGTTACAGGACAAACATCAAGTATGAGCGATTGTAAAAACATGGAAGAGTACCTACGGGGTAATGCTTCGGCTAAATCCCTCACTGGTTCCGATCGTCAAGCGCCTGACGTGAGGACGGTGACCAGTGGCCCAAGGATGCAGGAGGGCAACAACACTTTAGTGGTACCAAGGATTGTCTTGGACAGAGTAGATACACGAGGAAGTACGAGCAGGGTTACAAGTCAAGCAGGCTGCATTTCTATCTTCAGTAATGCTTCGGCTAATGACATTGCTGGCTGCAATAAAGATCGAGACCAAGCTATAAGGCTGAGGGAGGAGGGGCAAGCTTGAATTCAAAGAATGGAGGAAGAGGTCAGCAAGATGCTGAAGTCCTGTGATGTCCAGAAAAACGTCAAAATGAATATCAAGAACGGACTGAAAAGCATAACAACACTCATACAGGAGATCAAGGAGAAGCACGCAGCTGCAAAAAAAGTAGACGAGAGGTTCTATCAACAATTGGCGTGGTCAGAGGAATCAAGACAAGATCGAAGAGTTAGACACGACCGCTTTAACGCTATAACGTTAAGAAATGTCGTCTTGGAAGATCAGAAGCGGAAGAGGAGCAGTCCTGGTTTGACTAAAAACTCAAAAAAGAAGAAGAATGAAGGTTCTCTAAAAAAGGCGAAGGACCAAACAAAAAAGGAGTCATGAATGATCGTTAAGGTGGCTGAAGGTTCGACGTTCACAGCAATTCTGGGAAAGATCCTTGAAAAGGTGAATCCAGAAAAAAGCAATACGATTTGTGTGGGAGCTGTACCCACCAAGAACGGAGACCTCTTTATCAAACTTAGAAATTCTTCTGATAAGCAGACATTTACCAATGTGGTGACTAGGGTGATTGGTGACCTGGGTAAGGTGCAGTTTGTGGACCGGCCAACCACTTTGGAGATCCGCGATCTGGATTGTCTTACAGAGCCAACAGATATCCAGGAGGCCCTTTATAGAGTTTCGGCAATGCCTGTAGGAAGCAGAAAAGTAACGGTCCTAGATCCTAATAAGCGAGCTGTTAAGCTCGCTATTGTAGTAACCACACAACAAGATGCAAAAAAGCTGGAACATCTCGGCCACATAAGGGTTGGTTTTTTGTCTTGTCCAGTAAGAAATAGAGTTATGGTCACAAGGTGTCATAGGTACCTTGGCTATGGCCATATAAGCAAAGATGGTAAATCGGTAGATAGATCAGCTGCGTGCTTCAATCAAGTGCGGAGAAGCCGACCACAAGACAGCAGACTGTTAGAAGAGCCCATGCTGCTTCTTATGCGAAAAGAAGTTTGACGGGAAGAAGAAAACTAACCACGTCGCAGGGTCAGGAAGCTGCAAGATCTTCAGAACTACCTTAGAGGAAGCACAGAAGACTTTGTCCAGGACGCAAAGAAAATAGAGAGAACCATGATAAAATGTCCATGTTTGCGGCAATTGGCTTTGAAATCAACGTCGATAACATGGTGTCTACCATGGTTCAAAATGTGGACATTGTATGAGCGGATTAATGGCAAGTTAAGAAGCAGTACAAACGGACCACCACTTGCGAAGTTTAAGGCCTGACGGTAGTACCGCAAGTGGATCAAGTGTTAATCAAATTCAGTTGAAATTATTTGCTTGGGAGTTTATGGGGTCGCTGATTACGAATCTGAATTTATTTTTTGAAAATTAAAAATGGC